CTAGGCCTGTTTTCGAAAGACCTGCGGTGCTTAGGAGGCGTGTCTTGCAACCGCACTGCCCGCCTTTTACCCTAATTATAGGTTACGTTTTTGCTTGCGCTAGATGAAACGGGGGAATCGACACTTACAGGAGCTCGGTGACTTTTACACATACTGGACATAACAAACGAAATTAACGTACACCTGTCATCCAAACCCTATTCTTCATACTTAAGCACAACACATCTCTAGTGTGCCATTCCCCCAAATTAATCATCTTTCTTCAGTAATCGATCCTTGTGACACAGGATGTTTGCCACTCTCTATCAGGGTTAGCCAACAAACAAATCCAACACAGACCCTTTCTATAATGGTCATCTGAGCGTTTCTCATCAGTTTGCAGTTGGTGGGTGGTGCGTATGCAGTATTGCAAACACGAAATTTCCACCCGCATTTTAGGAGCACACTCATATTCTATTCATCCGGATTCTGGATATGGGAGCTTGACGGGTAAAGATCCCAGCTGATCGAGTTAAGTATTGTACTGTTGTCCATTTACCTCTCTTGTGATTGGTCGTTGCTCAGTATGCACCGCCATTATCTCTTACCTGTTCGCAACAGGGCCCGCTACATTTACCCCTCGTATCAGGCGATCAATCGTTGCGGAGGATTTTGCATATGTCCTGGTTTCAACCTCCTCATCTCCGCGTTTTCCAGGTACTTCAAGGAGACCACGGAATGTGACTTAGCTGGTATCGATGTTTCGTTTTTGGATCACAAATCTAAATAGACATTCTGCGGAAAACTTGGCATGGTTTTGTGAAATAAAAGCCATCAGCAATCAACTGGAGCCCCAAACGCAGGTGGTTGAATTCCAGAAACGATTCAGACATAGACTACTTTAAGAGAGTCGCCGGTGCAGTTGGCCCATAATAACAAGAAGATCCTAATCACGAACTGCCATATCAGTCACTATTTGTCACTGTCACTGCATTCATCTATTCGCTACAAGAACGCACGACATGTTCTGGACTATTAGGGGATGAAATTATGTGAGTATAAAATTTACAAATCCCACCTAATCAAGAAGCATTCGACATGTTTCATTCCAGTGCCATCTTGCTGTGACGTAACCCAGTAGTTAAGGCGAGATTCTACTGACCGGAATCTCCGTGATTCGAACTCAACCCCGGTATCTCGAACGCTCCTGTCCAGGCTTTTGGAACTTCGTGGTATTTTATTCACCATACTTCGTTCGGATGGCGTGGTGGCTAGGTACCTAAAGGGTGTTACAACTGAGCGATTGCTATTTCATCATCATTGCCTTCGTGAAAATTCCTGACAGCCGAATCAATCCGTCTACACAACCGGGTCGTCTTCCGAATCACATTGCTCCAGCACGAAGGCATGCTCCCCACAGATTTGTCTAGAGTTCGCTATTTCTGGTCGGGAAGTTCACGTAGACAGGAAATCACGTGTCGGTTGATACCAATATTAAAACAGCCAACATCCTCTGTACCACTCTGATTAATCAGGTTCATGTTTGAGCGTGTGTGGTGTGAGGGAGCTACATGTGCGCCTTCACTTTTGTATACTGTTGATCAGTCTCGTCTAAACGATAGGTGGTTGTTGACTGTCTGTTGACATGTGCCGGTTGAGAATGAATGCTTAGGGCTGCTGTACAACAGCGTTCTGTATATCTTGGCAGGTTGTTGTGCGGTAATTCGTCTTGATTAAAATCCCCGTGTTTCTGTGTGTCGAGACATAAGGTGCAATTTGGGAGTCTCCTCGGCTTAGTGGAATACGCATGTGTGGTTGTCTGCCAGTTTCCGTTATGTATCTGACTTCATATTCTTCGCACCGTATTTCCCATACACTGTCGGTTGAATCACCCGCCCCCACAGGGTCTATCTGGTCCACTAAGTACCTTAGTATTGTATTATGCAGTTGAGATTCCGTGCGTATATTGCGATCGTTCGTGGCTTTTTAGGAGTTTTGTTCCCCTACGTTATCTCTGCAGCCGTTGGAATAGTTTGCACGTTTTCAGGTGGTCTGGTGTTGCAGCGCTTCACTGTGTCGAAAATTGTACAGAGGCTCCATCCATTCGTCTTCCTTTATTCCTTGTTGGGTGTGTGACAGGGAACCTGGAGGTATTCTCAGGTTGGTTTTGGTTGGTGCTGCGGAGGAGTGAGGGTTGTTTAAGTCACGGAAGTCTAAGTGCTTGAACCCCGTGATTTTGTAAACAGACGGAATTCGCCTCGACTGTGGCAAGTAAGCGTTGTCTCATGACCTTGGTGCTGTGTGCAGGAACATGGTTGACGGAAAGTTGAATGAAAACTGTTTGGCCATCGGAGGTTGTTGCTCAATCATTTAACATTAGCGTACCCATTGATGGCCTAGTCATCAGATTGAGTGAAAAGGACTCGATAGTCACAACCTGATTGAAAACCCTGCAACCCTCTGGTGACATTTACTATAAGGTGTTGGGAACAAAATAGTCAGCTGAGATTTTCGATTTATCTCGGATTTACTGGGCGGTGAACCTTTGTAGTAGAATTATTTCCTTGGTGTGAAAACCGGACCCTTTTGATACGTCTGAATGGCGTTATGTCCTGTCCAAATGAGAGCTAATAGCATTGGTGATCAGCCACCCGAAGTCAAACAGTTAAGTGTGCAAACTACTAGCCGGAAGGTTGTGGGTTCGAGACTCTTTGAGTTTTGTAAGATACGCACTGCTAATGAGTTCCGAAAAGGAGATTTCCGTGCGATGCTTCTCGGCTCTTCAGGGTGGATTTGCTTCATTTGCAAGGTGGAATCTCTTACCAAAATCCCGTCAAATCGCCACAAGCTTTGTGAGTTGTTCGAGTAGCACTGCCCGTTTTTAACAGTCCACTCACCTTTTTGAATATCTTCTAGGCATATAGTGCTCAATGAACTTCTCGGGGCAATCGATTCTCCTGTTCCTCTTTAGGGCCCACCGTTGTCTGCTCTTCTAGGTGCTATAATGAGTGTTTTCCTTTACTCCTTCATCAAGGTTGAAACCTCTTGAAGTTGGTAGTACATATGAGGCTTTCTATCAACAGTAGCTAAACTGAGCTTTTAACTGTTGTTATACACTTCAGGTAAGAGTAAATTTGTCTAATTGTGTATTTTCATGCCACACACATGAACTCTCTGATGTTTTGTAGCTATTCTGTATTGTTGTCTGTTTCTCAGGAGAATATTTATGACAATATTCGTAAAGAAGTGGACGCGTTGTCTTCCATCGCATGTCTGGTGAACAATGTGGGTATGGTAAATGTGAGCCCCATGGAGTTTGGCTTTGAGGAAGGAATGTGTGTGGATAAAATTCACGACTACATTGCCTGTAACTGCTTGTCCATGGCTGGAATGACTCACCTAGTGCTTCCTCGGTTAGTAGCGCAGAAATCCGGGGCGGCACTAATCAATTTGGCATCGTTCACTTCCGTTCGACCGGTTCCTTACATTTCACTATATACTGGAACCAAAGCCTTCGCACGTCAATTCTCCGAGTCCCTGAAGTCCGAAGTTCGAGGACGTAATGTACTTGTTCACACCGTTTACCCAATCTATGTGGCCACCTCCATGGTTGGTCGTCGACGTGGATTCTGGGTCATCTCTCCCACACAATGTGCCCGGAGTTCGTTAGACATGTTGGGCGTGAATTCCTTCTGTACAGGACATGTGCTTCATGAACTACAAACCTACGGTTTCTCTTTCGTCCCACAGCCCTTGTTTAATCACTCAATGGAGCGAAAGCTGAAACGTGCTCGTCAACGCGCACTCAAGACTGAATGATGTGTTCCAGCTGTTTCAAACTCTGCTATGAGTGTTTTGTGATTGCTTCATAGAGTGGCAATTGTACTGTGCTGTTTACTTCACATCATCTAAGCGTGTCTAAGCATCTTCTGTCCCACGAAGGAGCCTAGTTTTTTGGACGGTGGTATTGAAACCGGTGTCCATCAGTCGGATCCCGACTTCTTTCTGCAACGTTTCTCTCGTTTGCCCATTGTTTGCTCGTGTATACAGCTCTTCCCTGTGTTGTGACTGTTTCTTGGTCACGCCCACTCTCGATTGTATCCAGCTTTGCTTTGAATGCTGCTGGTCCAAACAATTATGTCTGCCAGATCTGTTTTCATGACCTTCACTGAGTCTCCTGCTGATTTTTTGCTCTATTTTCATGGATTACAATTTTCAGTTATACTGTCCTCATTGTTTGAGTCACCTGATCTCGTTTTGTAGGTTGCGTTACGTTCGCTGCAACCTCTCCTTCTTTCTCAGTCTTAAATTTTTCTTTGCACAATCTCTGTAAACCCTTTCAAATTTTTTCGGTAATTCTGTGGTTAGCTTTGAAGTAGGCACTGTTTTGGTAGCCGTGGACTAAAGAGCTAAAGCTTGGACGGCTGAATAGGCACACGAATGAACAGCATGTTAGTGTTTGTCACTCGTTTCCCAGCTGTCTGATTGTGATCAAAGCCAGAATCGTTTCTCAATCTTGTTTAATGCAGCTTCGAAGCCCTTAAAATATCCCATGAGCTATCAACTGACTACAGTTTATATTAACATGATTAGCGAATATCCTTTAGTGGTGTGTAGTACTTGGCTAATTAGGCACCTGACTGCCACGAGCCCAAGACACGTTTTACGTCAATAAGAGGAAACTTGGGGCGTGGGGGGGATGAGGCTAGCAGAAGACCTGTTTTATTCTTGTTCTGCCTGTATGTTAGACCCAATAGATCTTCTAGAGTCTTTACGCAACTAACCTGGCGGACATGAACTGATGAGCGCTGTAATCATGCAATGGGGTTCGATTATTCGACAAGCAAACTGGGCATACGTGCTTGTTCATCACAATTTACTGCGCTATTTTGGAGTAGTGAGTCTGTCGTGTGGTTTTTCGCCAGGCGCCGTAATCAATGGGGTTCGATTATTCGACAAGCAAACTGGGCATACGTGCTTGTTCATCACAATTTACTGCGCTATTTTGGAGTAGTGAGTCTGTCGTGTGGTTTTTCGCCAGATTGTGTAGTTGTTAAATGACAAGCACACCTCGTGACCTGAATGGAAACTGATCGTTTACAGTGTACACTTCAATGTACCTTCAAAGATGTTATGCTGTCCAGTGAATATTGCTGACAAATGTTTTAGACAACGTCGGCACAAGACCGAAGACAAACGAAACTGGCAAGAACAGCATGAGAATATCGAGTATGAACCCTCAACTCGCAGAAAGCAAATCCATTTGTGTCAGTTTCTGGCTTTGAGTTATTAATCCCGGGCAGCTTATCGAGGTTATTACATTCGGAACTGTCGGATGATGGTGGCGATGTGCTAATTCCGACAAAAACTCATTGTAGCCAGAAGGTTTCGCAGTTCGTCACATGAGTGTAACTCATCAAACGCTGATGTGGAGTAGAAATTTCGTTGCGAGTTGATGCCGGGATTTCAATGAGGACACTGATTTATCGTTCACTTGGGCTGTGGGTACATTTGATTGTTTTAACGACCAGATCTCTAGCGTCTGGTTGCGTAAATTCACAGGATTACCGACCGTTTCGCTGACGTGAAAGGTTTTTCGGATGACATTCTTGTACCCTTCGGGTGTATCCACTTTAATGCGAATTGTCGCAGATGTGCGTGGATCGTCAACGAGGATTTTTCACCAGTTAGAGGGCACAAATGAGGCAATAACTTGGTTTGCCAGCTTGCAGTGTACTCATTTCAGCGAAGTACGGAACACCGCAATTGGTGTCTTGTGCTCCACCAAGCCCTATGTTCTACCGCCCACATGGGTGCTATTTCTTGATGATGCTCAGCGCATCTGAGATAATTAGGTGGTCGACATCGACTAGACTTGGTCATCATCAGCAGCTGCAAGAACTGCGTGCTTGCTGTATGAGTGATTCTAGTTGCCATTTTTGTTCGCGTCGATGGGAGAAATTTGTTGGTAACGGTTTTCACACTTCTCTGCCAAGTCTTTGTTTGACATCCTCTTAAGCGTTTCCACCCTTCGGGCAGTTCTACAAAAAGAAGTTTCGAGAAACTCGGCCGACTGGCGACGCAGCACGTGGCCAAGCCAGAGCAACCCTTGAATTATGGTCAGTTCATATATCGTGGGTGAGTTATTTTTTCTCAATACTATTCGGGGTATTTCAGGATCAATGATCCGATGTTCCCAACAGACTCCGGAGGTGCTCCGAAATCATCCGTGGTCAAACACTGAAAGTCTTTTAACTTCCTCAGCGCGTAGCGGCCCACCGCAGCATTGTAAACTCGACTTTCGACAGACTAGCTGGAGTCATGTCTACGCCACAGGTGATGCAGGCTCAAAAGCTACTCTAGCCTCCCCAATCCGAAGGGAGACAACCTGGACTGATGCAGCTGCCCAGATAGACAAATTTGTCTACTATCTCAATTGGTTCATCCGCGAGCATGAGGCTAGGGTTCGAGCCCACCCTACTCTGCAGTAGACCTTCACACTTCGCAGGTGTGAAACGCATGTTAGACCGTGAGGCAGAGTCCCAAACACTTTCCAACAGAGTTATTCAACTTATTGAATATTGTTTGTAGTTCCATGGTGTGAGATCCAAGAAGACCTATGTTGTCTGCCTACTCGATGTCTGCGGACGAGCATCTCAGTAGCACGTCGACGGGTCATTCTTTGTCCGCTTATTCTTGTGACCAGCATCTGTGGATTTGTCATTTGGTGCACGTCGACCTTCCTGTGTTTTATTGCTGTACGGTCAAGGTTATAACCACGGCTCGTATAAAGATTTAAATGTGGCTCATACATCTGGGATAGGCGCAGTATCTTCCTCTTGCTAATCCCCAGTGGAGTTCAGCTGATTCAGTGCTTCATTAACAGATGCATTTGGCCACCTCAAGCAATGGCTTCACAGATAATTCAGCCATTCCAAATTTGATGAAATTCTTGCTTTCAAGATTTTTCTTGGCTTGAGATAACACAGCGTATGCTGATCTGCTTGGAATAGTTCCGCGGAACAGTGTTTCAACCAGTCTCCGCTTGTGCATGTTTGGCGCTGCTGTTGAACTAGACTGGAGCAAATAAGATTCAGTGACAAACATGTGAAGGCCTAATGCAGACACCCCACTTTTCGAAACATGACAACAGCTAACGCGCCTCTGTTAACATCTGTTCTCTTGTCCCCGTTGATGTTCGACATGCTTCTCTTCATTGTGATCTGCAGTGGCCTGTGAATGTACTGGAAGTGAAGTCTTTCAATCACCCAGGCTCTTCCTTTGTAGGGTGTACAGGTTTTAAAGTACTCAGGACAATAAGGCGATTCGATACACTGCGCTTTCAAAATCTTTGATCTGTAACATCCTTTCGGAGCCTAGTTGTCATGCCGTCCGAAAGACGCACAAGGGCTGAGATACTGTCAGGCTGTCTGGATAGAAGAAGCTAGATGCTGAGGTCGAGTTCTAACCACGATTTTTACCTGTTCTTGCCTTAACGAATGAGCTATGTTGAACCCTGACCTATATCCGGTTAGTGAGTCCATCAGAGGCCAAAACGATATCATGGTCTTTGACATTCGTCACTTTAGTTCATTGGAAAGTGCTACGTAGGTCTGCATTGTGCAATTGAGATTTCGTAAAAATTAGCACCACAGAATCCCCCGACAATTCTTTCCTGAGCATCAGCGGTTGCTCTTAGAAGAGATACAGTTGAAGAAAAAACATAGTAAAGTAATGCACTGAGACCAGCGGTAAGCGTTCGACGCAGTAACTAGATTGTCCCACGTAAATCCTTCTGTGCGTGTGTTACGTAATTCAACCATGTCAGAGTTTTCCATGAGGGAACGAAAGCCTGACTGCAGACAGTCGCAGTAGATCTAACAACTGAAGTAAGGTTATGTCAGTTGGTCAGTGGTCACAACAACGCTGTGCTAGCGCATTTTTCGGAGGCTACTGGTTACCAATGATTGTGAGGTGTCTTCACCTTCAAAGGTAAAAATTACGGTGATGGATGTTGGGAAGAAATCATTCAAGGATCTGTTTCCGGTCTAGGCATTGTGTCATCGAGGCGAGTGTGCTCTATAAGGAAAGCAAAGCATATCAACCATTTTGACAGACAGGTTTTCCGAAAAACGGGATGCACTCAATCGATAACCATTCTTGAAAACGATGGTTTTCCTGACGAATCTCTAATAGCGAATGGACGTCCTTAGTCTTCTCCTCACGCTGATATCACCCGCCTGCGAGCGCTCCTAATAAGTCGATCATTCCATTTTACCGGTTGTGGGGGCGGATATGGCGAGCAGATCCAGTCCTGCATCAGGCACAACATCTACAGCTCCAAGGCCGTTACGATAGGAAAGTGGAATATATGCTAGCTGGTTGGTTCTGATGCTCAAAACAGTATGTGGTTCTTTTTAAAAGGCGACTAGACATTCGCAACCCTGTCGGTAAGTTGCTTGAACTGTTTCGTTGGCTGACACCGTGAGACATCCAGCTGTAAATAGACCAAACCGTCAAAAACGCATTCTCAACCACACACTGGAACCTTCTCATGTTTCTTATCTCTTCAATAGATGAGTCCAACCACTGTTTCAATGCTTTAATTTCTCATTCCGCATGGCATCCGAGGAAACCATGCAGTTTAATTTGTCATCCTTGGGTGCGTTTTCTTAGGCAGATTCGTTCAGCGAGTGAAAGTTGGAACAGCTTCATAGTTTGGCCTTATTTGTGCGCAGTTTTGCGGTTACACACGCGCAGAAGTTGAACACAAATGGGGTCAATTAGAACTTGCGGTTTAGGTTGGATAAGGTAGGAATCCACAACGTGTGCACCAGTCAGAGTCACGTGACTTGTGTCGGACTAACCAAGTCGGTGTGCGAAGCCTGCGACAGTACAGCAAGTAACTTCAAGTAATTATCATCTTGTGAACGAAACCAAGTACAGCGGTTATATCCTGGCTTCAGGTCCTTGGCCGTTCCCATCTAGGGCAACAATGCCTCGGCTTATTACCCTGAATATTCCCAAGCGTCGAGCCTAGAGAAGTGATGGAACTGATTTCGCGCAAGCATCGCCGTGTAGACCAAGCTGAAAAATGGCTACAGCTAACAGGCCAGATGCATATGGCATCTCGTGCGGACATTTTGTATATGCTTTCAATATCAACTGTTTAGTTGAGTCCATTGTCTCAACCGTAAGTGAGCTGGGATGTCGTTTCCACCGAGTTTACCTGCCACGTTAAATATTCTCACTATTGTACTCTACTTAGATGTATTCTGAGGTGTTTTAACGCCCACTATTACACTCTATTTGTGTGCACTTTACCTACACAGGTGTAAAAATCCATACTAGCATTCCACAGATTCCGGATTTTTAGTCCTTCAAAGTCTTTAGAGGTGACACTGCCCCCACACTGACCTAGCTAAATGGAAGTTAGCGCTGGCCAGCCATATGGTCCTGATGCATATCAATTCAATTTTTAATTTAACAACTATAGACCAGACATCACCAGATACTCTTCTGCGTATACCATGAGATTAAACTATTCCCTTGTACCTACTTGAGTTGACAACTGCGAGCGAACGGTTGAGCTTGCCGATGGCTTTAGAACCATCTACTCCTGCTCACCCGTCGTCCTCATTCCCCAGGCTTTACACCAGTTGCAAGCTGCTCAGTTTAGCTGGGTTTACTCAGTGGTCACTACTCAAAGAGGTTCGTTCGGAGAAGAGGGCTGTGTTTTGGGTACCTCCTCGGCACTGCTGAAAACGACTTTCATGCCTTGTCGCAAGAGTAGTTTAGAGGAGCTGACGGATAGATTGGTCGGTCGGTCAGTGCCATATTCGATAGCTTTAATCAAGGAACAGTCATCAACGTCAAAAATTTGATCCCTGTAATTTTGAAAATCTAAAAAATTTGCAGCAGCATTTATTCGAACTATCAGTTAGAAATGAGGATTTAATAGGAACAGAGCATCCCTATAACTATTGGGAACCAGTCAGCGCTGGTCCGTGTTGTGGAACATTAAAGACGACAAGCAAGTCACGGAGGAAATTCCAAACTATAGATTAACGGCAGAGCCATGAAGCCAATTCTTCCAGATCAACTTCCTCTGTTTGCTTCTCCAAAAACTCTTGGCACTTTGCCTTGAGCTTCGGACAAGTTAAAGTTTCAATAAATTCCCGCATTTCCTCCCTACTGAGCTTGTTGTCCTTGTTTTTGTCCGCTGTCTTCAGTAGATCCTTGATGTACGCCAAGCTGGAAGTGTAGAATGTGCAAGAAATCTGATTAACTCACGACAGCCTCGGTTTGTGGGGCAGACCAGCGGACTGTGATGACAATATGGAAAATCCACTAGTGAACTGACATCCTCTCAGAGCGGAATTGAGGGGAGTGGGTCCCCAACATGAGAAAACACCTGTTACAAGAAAAGTGGTCTCACAATGAAATAGCAAACTCATTCTCACTAGATTTTGTCTTTGCCATCCAGCAACATCCAATGACAGTTTACTCATCAGGATGTGTAAAAATGGAGGCCTCACTGACACGATGAAATCCAAACTGAATACCACAAAGTTTCCTAACACTAATCAATCTCTAAGTGGCTGGGAGGGGGAACATTTTCATAAGACGGGTGAAACTTTGATATGAGAGATAGCCACTGGAGCATTCAGTCAATACCTGACCATAGAGTAGCGGACTGTGATCATAATATGAAAAAATCCACTGGTGAACTGACATCCTCTCAGAGCGGAATTGAGGGGAGTGGGTCCCCAACATGAGAAAACACCTGTTACAAGAAAAGTGGTCTCACAATGAAATAGCAAACTCATTCTCACTAGATTTTGTCTTTGCCATCCAGCAACATCCAATGACAGTTTACTCATCAGGATGTGTAAAAATGGAGGCCTCACTGACACGATGAAATCCAAACTGAATACCACAAAGTTTCCTAACACTAATCAATCTCTAAGTGGCTGGGAGGGGGAACATTTTCATAAGACGGGTGAAACTTTGATATGAGAGATAGCCACTGGAGCATTCAGTCAATACCTGACCATGTGATGTGGTTTCTGCGATTGAAGGAAGAGTGATGCTTCTCCAAGTTGCTTCTTACGGTAGTATGTCGATGACCTCTCTGTGTTTCATGAGTGGCCTGACCTATCACTATATACATTGCAGTGTTAAGATGAAATCGGTTAACAAAATACTCTGGTGATCCCACGTTTTAACAGGCTTACCGCCTGATGTTAAAACCTGTCGGACTGCAGTCAATTTACTTAGAGGTAGTAAGTTCGGCAGTGTGCTTGAATTCGATCTACAACGTCGGCAGCCGAAGCCCTGAAATCCGTGCGCGCACTTGGCAGAGGTCGACTGACAGATACGCCCAGGTTGAAAGCTATCGAGAACGAAGTAGAGATAGCCTAACTAGATCGTGAACATTTTGAGCGTCATTCGTTTGAATTACAGAACGGTCTACGTCACAATTGGAATTTCTAGAAACCATGCACATTGGGGTCTTCTGTTGGATATGTAATTTCTAGGACCGCTAGTTGAGGACGTAGTTGTTTTCACACCCAAATTCGGGGCACTAGAAACGGGAGTTTTCAGTTAAGCTTTCCACATTCCTTTAGTCTGTCTGAATTAACAAGTTGATCGGTCGCATGATTAATATTCCACCCAACACCGGGAAGTACCTGTTCAGCCATTTTTGCGTCCAACCAACATCGTACACCCCTTCCGGATATGAATCTGAGTGAACTCTAAGTGAACAACTTTCCCAGGACATGCGTTAGCTACAGAACACGGTAAGGATGCGCCCAGACATGGGAAAATACATGTGCAGAGAGTGACGCATCCCCAAGGTCACCATCGGTACGACACGTCCGGAAAGCAGGTGCGTTGGCGGAGCTCACCAAACACGGCTTAGCAACACACGACCAGCCGAGTGGGCCTGAAGGTGCTCACGACCGGAACAGTGCCACTGGCTGTACAGAGCGAACAAGCGAATGACCATATTTGGCCATTTAGTCATCCTATATATTTACGCAGAAGCTCTGTATATTTTGTCCTGACAATACAGCCATGTCCGCGAGTTCTCTGTCTTCTCCTTATCGCGTAGTCTGGCAGGCTCAGTGCAGACGTAATCAATAGACGGCCACCCACGATACAACACACCCAAAAGAGCTAAAACAATGAATTTACCTTCAAATCACTACCCTAGTCAGGGAGGCCTATCGATACAGTAATGCAGCGGTCACTCCATCGTCCATTCAACCAACTTCGCTCGATTTGTTTGGTTCATCTGCACGCTGTGTTGGGCTTACCAATAGTGAGTGCTCCGGTTGTAACATAATTAACTTAGTAATCAGGTGTTAAGCATTAACAAATACCTGCAATATTTAGGTGCACCGTGATAAAACACATAAATAAACAAATTAATTAATTAATTAAATAAATAAATAAATAATAATGCGACAACAGGATAAAGTCAGCAGCGAGTTATCGTTTGAGGACGAGTGGTGAGAGTTCCTGACTGAATTTCCAAACGCGAGACTTGTTTTCTCGGCAGTTAGCTAATACGCGTGTTCTGTAATGATCTGTGGACTTTTGGAATCCAGCTGACTTCCTGAGGTTTGGGAGCGCGCGTGTGTACTGAGCCGAGTTGCATGCCTATTTATCGTGTGTAATGTGAGGAGAGGAGTGTCTACTTTTGTTTGATTGTTGCACAAACGTGAATTAAACTCGATCTGATGTTTTTGAAGGTCCTAAGCGTGACACGTGACGCAGGTGGTAGCCAAGTAAACAAAATGGACGGAAAATTTCAGTGTATATGTCATCGGTCAAGGTTGAACGGAGGTTACCTGATTTGGGTGTTTGTGACCCGTGATCTAGCTAGTGCGGATGCACCAAACAAATTAAGTGAACTTGGTTGAAGGAACAATGGAGTGGTCGCTGCAGTAAAGAACAGCCAAAAATGATGAGATAGGCCCGGGGATCATCAACATTTAACCGCATATTCAGGCCGGACTCCACCATGTATAATACAGGAGGCATACTTGCGTTAGTGTGTGAGTGTAGTCCAAGATAACTAAAGTCGACTGCTTAGCTGGTTGAACGAATCAAGCGATTTGGAAGCGGAATGTGTCTGATGTCACATGGGTTACTGCTTCGCGTTTCACGGAACTGCCCGAGCGGTTAGAATCTTCTCACTAGTTGTTTGCAATAAAATGAATAAAATTATTGTCAATTTCAAGTATTCTGTCCTTCTAGTTTTCATTCTTGAAACAAGGTAAAAATGCCACTCATTTCTGCCTACTTACCATTAATGAGTAACTCCTCTATTATTTACCTCAGAAAACCTTCTCACTTCACTAAGATGGGTGATTGATGAAAAAGTGATAGAGAGTCCTTACACCAATGGATTGTATATGTGCTTTTTACGTTTTTGGGCGGGATACATCACAATCCTTTTTAGTAATTCCATGCTTCCTGAGGGCTTTTTTCCAGGGCTAACAGCCTGATCATTTTATTATTGGTTAGTAGGTGGAACATGGGGATAAAGCTGATAAAATGTAAGATGAATGTCAATTTTGAGATAACATACTGATAAAGATGTATGTATTGTTGAGCTAAATGGGTTCTACAAGCGGACGATTCTCACCTTAGAGCTGAAACCGTTTCTAACTTTCATTATTTTATTAGTTAAATTGACTTGCCATTTTGGTCGAATTTGTCTCTGGTGTTTCTCATTTGCACTTGGAGCTGGAAGTGAATAGCGTATTATCACCAGTTTTAACTTTATATTAGGCTAAGAAATTCCCTTCTGTTCTAATTTGTGCTTTGAGGTGCATTTGTTGCAGTTTTCAAAGGTTTTCACACACTTTTGATGACGTAGAGGTCGATTCATTGTCATTATTGAAGGCAGATTTATGGTGGCCTTTTGTGGAATAGCTCAGAATAAAGAATTTGGAAGTACATAGTATGTAGCAAATACTATCGGTTGTAATCCACAGGTTTATCAGATGCCACTTCCAAATAAATCTGCCACATTATTGCATTTTCTAGTGACTTACTGAATGACATTAGGCTCCGTAATCGGGGGGTATAGGCCAACATTCGTTCACCATTGCGGGTGATTTGTCCGAATTTGCGTTATGGAACACTATTTTATTGGACGTGGTCATGATCTCCTTTTATTTCGGTAACAGCACATGTGCAGATTGCTAAGAATGTGGTGGGCAATTATTTTGAAGGCCGGATCCGGATAATCGAAATTTTAGTTCCCCGTTTTATCCATCTGGGTCTGAGTGTGATTAATCACACTGCTGATCAGCCACTCGTGGCCGCACGGTTAAGGGGTCAAACTCAGCCGGGAGGTCGCGGGTTCGAAACTCTTCGGAGTTTGGTGAGATGCGCACTGCTGATGATTCCCAATAAGGATGAAACAGCTGTACAGTGCTTCTCGGCTTTTCCAGCATAGATGGCTTTACTTACACGATGAAATCACCACAAAAATTTTACTTCTCTCAGTTGTAAGTGCATGTCGTCGGGATTCATTGAAGTAGTTATGCCAAAATCAAATCTAATGCCAGTAAGCTAAACTCAAGAAACTGAAACGGGAATGATACCCATGGCGGCATAATCGGTGTTCATCACGACAACAACGACAGACCTTCTGGGATAAACTGGCAACCCTCAAATACACTGCATCAATATTGCTCAATGACAAATATGTACATGTTTGCCCTGGACCAATTCTTTTGCCTCGGACCAGTATGTATAGGTGTGGTTTTGAATACCCTATTCTCTATCAGTGGTTTGTTTTGTTTTATGGTATCCACATTTAGAAGCGGCTTGTTTGTAGTCCTACTCACAACATCAGTGAATGCTGAAAAGCCTGATCAAAGAGTCTGCTGATGTCTGTAAAACATATTCCGGAATAACGGCCGTGCCAACATATCCATGCATCTGACTGCCTGATTACCGATTAACTGTCACTTTCTTGTTACTATTTAGCACATACTACTTAAATAACTTATTCGAAGGTGTTCCACGCCACTTTCAGAAAGCAGTCGGAGAAAGGAGCTCATTCGAATCACAACCCAATTCTCGTGTTTTCCCAAAGTGTCACTGTCAGGCCCGACCAGTGTGAAAGCAACATAGACGTACTTCTCGGATGACTCGTCTTTGTCTGATCATCATATTACCAGGGTTTCCCGTGGTGCTTACCACTGACCGAACAGACAAGACGGTTC